CAGTAAAAAGTCTATTTTTACCAGCTATATTGTAAATTTACCTTTTACAACAATCTCCATATATCGTACGTATCAACATGACTCTTAATGTGTATAAGAAAATATACAACAACCTACTGCTAACTTTTCTCATCTCATACATAATTACATTCACATACAAATTTATAAATCTTATACAAAATTATAAATCTTATAAAAAATTAACCCTACATTTACATCATTGCATCCTTATGTTATTCTTGTGTCTTATGGAAGCTTTTGTTATCTCCTGTCTTCGTTGATTTTGATTGTGGCTTACGAGATCGTTTAATATTCGCGATCGATCCCACTCTCCAACAACCTATATTCAAATTGTCAGAATGTTAAGTATTGTAAATCACATCATTCAATCTACGACTTTTAACAATTTTACCACAAACGAATTTTTAATTCCACTTACAAAATCACCAGTTGCCCCTGTAGAATCGATCGATTCCATCCACATCATCAGATACATGCCGCAATCATATCTGTTACAAAATTTGAAAGCAACACATGTCAATTATGAATCCTGCATAAATTAAGCTTTCTATTTATGATAACATCTCATACCCATTCAATTGCTTATTCTTCTTATGCTCCAAAAGTTTGAAATTTTTCAAGGGGAACTTTCCTAGAGATCCATAGTATTCAACCCAAATGCGTTTCTTATTATAAAAATCTAATATTTTAATTTGCATTAAAAAAAGAAGTTATAATCCAAATAAATTATGCATTATAATTTACATAATGTCCTTTCATACATACATACATACCAATCTCTTAGCATCCTTCACACTCTATTTAGCTGCTTTAGATGTAAACATACTATCATATATTGTTGCAACACGATCTACCATATCCAACATCAACATATATCAATGTGAATTATGGTAGTTTATTATGATCATGATATGCAACAAATTTCACACCCAACTTGACAAAATTCAACATTCTATATCCGAAAACATCATTTACAATTTGTATGGTGTCTTACCTTCTCACAGTCGGTGAATTTCACATAGTTATCCAATATAGGACCCCAAAAGGTAGCAATACTCTCAACACTTTCTTTGTTGTCGGCATTCAATGCCTGTTGTTGTAATTACACAACAAACATTATTAATTTACCGTCTATAACACTACTTTTCAATATTTATTAATTTAACTCACCGCTAAGAGGTATGGAAGGTAGTCAATCCTCCGGAGTGACTTTTGAGAATCGTAGCATACTGTCCAGGCGAGCAAATCAATAACCTAACAAAATTAATTACACAATCAGAACATATTCAATAAGTTTTAACATTTTCTACTTTCTACTTACCACACCGCCAACCCATTCCGTAGGCTTCAACGTTGCAACGTCGTATACACTAGCGAATTGATTTCCCATTGAGATTATAGAATATCTGTACGAATCATTAGGATTAATATGTTGTCATGAAATACTTAAATATCACTCACAAAGCAATATATTTCACTTACCCCGATTCTAACTCACTATTCCATAAATAATCACAAATTGCAGCTTCGATGTCATCAATTCCGCTTGGAATATCCACTTTTTCAACCTACAATTTTGCATACAAATTTTTGTCACAACAACATGATAAAGATCAAATTAAGTTTTCTTTTATTCAACTTACCTTCTACTTCTTCTTCTGAGGTGCAGGACATTCCGAATCCAAATCTGCTGCTATAACACTTTCCGGTGTATAAATGACATCGACTTCCTTCCTCCTCATTTCTTCCATCTTTTCTTCTTCCTCCTCCCTCTTTTCTTCTTCATATTTTTTCAGTTCATCGTATTTTTTCTCTACATAGATCTTCATCTCTTTTATTTCACCCTTCAATTGATCTCCTTCATCCAAGTATTGATCAACCACCCCCTTCACCCCCGTAAGTTCACTCCTCAATTCCACAACCTCCTTCACCACTCCATCAAATTTTTCACCCATCACCATCTTAAGATCACCCCTTAACCCCTCAACTTCTTTCACCACTTCACCCCTCAACACCTCTACTTCTTTCACCACTCCATCTATTTTTCCTTCCACTTCTCCTTTATGCCTCTCAAGTGTATCTTCGACTCTCTCAAGTTTCTCTTTGACTCTTGATTGTCTTTGCATGTTATCAAATTGGATTTTTTTGATATCAGCCAATTCAGACATCAAAATGTCGAAGTTACTTTGTTTTCCCTCACCGTTATCCCCCAATACAACCATCTCTTCTTTCTTCTCCTCTACCTCCTTACCAATAACCTTCAAAATTAAATTACAATATTAAGACATTGATTATATTCTTAATATTATTTAATTACATTTATTACCCTTTCTTGCTTCCTTGATCTATCCAACTTCAACTTCCCCATCACTCTAACCACCTCTTGCTTCCCCCATGCACGGATGCGTGCCACTCCAATTCTTTCATAAGCCGGCACTCCCTCACAGTCCGACCAAAAATCGAACAGTGCAACCTGCATTTATAATAAAATTTATAATTTTATATAATAATTATACTATCATTTTATATAAAAACACAAAAAAGTTCTTCAACTCATTTACCTCTAAGATTGCTATGCACCCTTTGAGGTATCTATTGCTGCCCTTTTTAAAAGTGATTATTGATTCAATCAATCTCGAATGGACATATTCAGCCCAATTGAATTCACCCTTCAAGCCTTCATCGCAAATGAGCTCCATATAGTCATTTTTCGTTGACGTATCACCCGTTGGACAAAGAAATATACCGACAAGATACAATAGAACTCTGGCCTTCAACTCATCCCCCCGTAAGATCCACTTTTGATTTCCTCTTCAATTTCAGCATATGTCACATTCTGCTTCAAATCATATTTGGAGGCAAGTGCTTTCCAATCCTTACTCTTACAGACTTCTACAACACTTTTACCTTCATTTTCTACCCCCAATACGGCTATAGCACATGGGATCCCGAGAGGAAATGAAAAATCACCATACTTAGCAATACATTGTTTGACATCAAATTGCTCCATCAAGGATCGACATAATTCCCTCCGAATATGTCGATCCCTTACTCCTACCAACGATACAAAACCTATTTCTCCCAGCACATTCAACTGACCCTTCTCCTTAAGGTGTTTAATTAATGAATTCACCCTTTTAATGCTGCACCTTATCGACACTTCCTACATTTTTTAACAATATATAATGTTATAGTTCTTATATATTTTGTATCAACGTATTTACAAGTTTAATGAATACCTTATTTTCATGTGCTTTCCTCCGTTCTTTGTATTTTTTACTATCATTTCTTGACTGTGTGATGTAAGGTTCCTTTTCAGCATCACTCATCGAATTCCATTTGGACCTCATATATTTTGTCACCTAATATTAAGCATAAACGTTTCTTAATCAATACATTAACACTAAATAATACTCAATGTCAATTTCATTTTACATACCGAACCGCTCTGTGTGCCATCTTCCTTCATCATTTTGCATTCGGCCATACTGTCAACATTTAAAATTTGTAATCAATTTAAAGTTTTTAAATAATTTAATCCAATTACCATTTCAACAATAATAACAAAAAGACATTGATACTTACTAGAAGTACATATATCCACCCTTTGGTTGCTTTCGAGTCTCGGCCTCAATTTCAAAGTCATCTGCGCCACCAACAATTTTTTTCACCCATTAACTCCATTTTTCATTCATATATCAGTTTACGCAAATCAAATCAAATACTTGTTACATACACTTTATTCGATATACAAATATAGATAACTACTCTTATGGTAAAACGGGTTTCTTCAAAAGAATTTAAATGGTCACTACAAAATGTGTCAGCACATTTATACAACCTATAATATCATTTTCTACCTATAATATTTAATAAAAGTATCGACATTTATATTTTACCTTGAATATCACTTTCTACCTGTAATCGGTCTTAAATGCTTCTTTACTCTAAAACCCTAAACAACACATAAAAACCCTATTTACAATTAATGTAATAATAAAAAACTAGGGTTTCAACAACATACTTTTCGATTCGACTACAGCAACAAACAAACAAACTTCGCTTTAGAAACGCCTTCTGAAATGCAACAACAATTACGTTTCGATTTCAAAAACTCGTCTGTTCTATCTATTTTCAGATGATATTTAGCTATGACCTTTATATTTTTATCGGATATGTTATTTATATTTAATCGATACAACTACCAAAGTATCGTTACTTTTATGTCAGGTGTCGATTCTTTCGATATGATAATTATCTATTTCTTTGAAAGTATCGATAATTTATTACACGTACTTATGAAAGTATCGACACTTTAAATATATCCGGTAGCGCTTTAGCGGTTTTATCATTTTGATATCGGTTTAACCATATTTTTACCTGTTATATCGTTGTGGATCGATACATTTTTATAAAGTATCGACACTTTATAGTCGTTAAAACTGCTTCTCTTTTAAATTCACAAAGTGTCGATACTTATATTAAAGTATCGATACTTTAAATATATCTGGTAGCTCTTTACCAGTTTTATCATTTTGATACCGATTTCGTCATATTTTTATATGTTATATCGTTGTGGATCGATACATTTTAATAAAGTATCGACACTTTATAGGCGTTAAAAATGCTTATCTTTTAAATTCACAAAGTGTCGATCCTTATATTAAAGTATCGACACGTTCAATATATCCGGTAAGGATTTACCGGTATTGTCTTTTCGTAACCGGTTTTATCGACATTTTTACCTATACTAATATGGATCGATACATTTTTAATTTGGATCGACACAAACCGACAAGTTAAGTTTGTCGGTTGCCAAATTTTTTAATATTTTTCATGACTTAGACCTACTATATTATTATTACTCAACATTTCTGATAACGTTAAACTAAGTTTATTAAATATCTTTTAATGTATCTGGTAATACTGTATATTAATAATATATTAATCCGCCTCGAAAAAACATATAAATGATGAGAAAGAAAGAGAGATAAAGAGAGGGGCCCTCTTTCTAAAGCCTGCAACAGAAATGAGTGGCACTGCACCAAAGAGTAACGTGTTTCTCTACCTTCTTGTTTTTTACTTATCTTTTTCTCTTTCCATCTTAAGGAAATGGGGGCCATCTCCATATGTGTTTTATCGTCTGCACTCTTTTTTCCCCATTTTTTCTGGGGCATTTTTGGACTCTACCGCCCTTTTTAGTGGGGTTCTCTCTCTATGACTTTTGCTGTTCTAGTACATTTTCCCAAGAACCCAATGTGTGCTTTTAGAGCTTTAAAAATCTTTGTTGGACTGATTATGTATTATCTTGTTGGGTGTCTGAAATTGTGAATCTCAGTTTCTTGGTGTTTGAGTTCTTTGATAGAGACTAATAGAGCTCTACTTTTCTGTTCATGCAAACAAATTAACCCCACCTTTTTTGTGTTTGCTTCCTTTTATCATTTCTTTATATTCCTTTATGTTAAAGAAGAAAACGAGGGGTTCTTTTTTCACAACAGTTCTTTGATGTTTTTTGACAATGCTCTTTTTATTTTTATGGAGAATCAGAAACCTAATGATTTCATGTGAACTTTGCATTACAATGGCTTCTGTTGAGTGTATCTGAGAACACCCCATATTTATTTCTCAGTCAATATAGTTATAATGAAGCTGGTTTTCCCTTGTAGATAAGATTTTCAAGCATGAAAAATACTTTACCCTTCATAAAATCTCAGGTAGTTCATCTTTTTTTCTTCCAGCTTTTCTCTTTGTTTCAGACACAAGCATTGAAGAAGGTGAACTTTGAAGCCTCTAAATGTTCTACTTTCTAGTACATGAACTTACTCTATTTGTTCACATGCTCTCTTTGTTTCATTACCATTTTTTACCAGTTATCCAGGTTCATGGTGGATCATTGGAATGATTATAGTTGAACTCAAGGAAGTTGTTTAGTGAACTTATATTGGCATGAAATCCTACATGTTGAAGGAGGTTCATAGGCCTAAGGCCATGTGATTTTTGTGGCCAAAGTATAATGGAGAATGATATGTTCGGTGTTCCACGGGCGACGGTGAGTCGAAATTCCGTTGTTATCGATTTGATCCCGTGGGGGACGGTCTCTAATAATTCAATAGTCAAGTCCAATTTGTTTAACCAGATCAACCAAAACCAGACACTAGCTGGATTTACTGTGCTCCCCTCGATGCAAGGGGAGTTTAGTGGCGATCTAGGTGCTGATTGCCGTCCGAATCATGTCCGGTTCTTTGACCCTAATGCATCGGTTGCAACGAAGGTTACGAGTTTTGCTTCGTGTTCGGAACATAACATTGAGTTTCATGAGCAATTCATGGGGAGGACACCCGTTTCGAGTCCACCTGCAAGGTGCGGTCTTCAAGAAAGCTTAAAAGAGTTAGCAAACGTGCAGCCTTTGATATACCCTCAGAATTGTAGGACCTACTCTTCAACTGAATGCTCTGATGGCATGAATTCTACAATGATGGCTTCAGTAAATAGTGTGTTTAATGAAGTTTTTGGTAGTATGGAAAATAAATGGAATTGTACCCCATCGAAGACGGCATTTCAACCTTATTCTTTGATCGGATGTCCGGATTCGAATGGTTGGATAGCGTCGAATGGTGCAAATATGGGGCTGGATTTTCCCTGTGGTTCCTCAAAAAATAGTAACGAGCTATCTTTAAGTCTTGCTACTTCACTTCCTGCTGTAATCAGTGGGAACAATATACCTGATCAGTCCTCTGAAATAAACTGTAGCTTGAATGCAACAAGGTTAGGCTCAGAACAAACTTCTTGCAATGCTAAGGAGCTTTCTCTCAGTTTCGGTTCTGACAAACCGGTTCAAGTATCGCTTTTGATATCAGGATCGAGATATCTTCATGCTGTTCAAGAAATACTTGCTCAAATTGCAAGCTATTCTCTTGAAAATCTAGAGCAGATGAGTGTCGGAGCCAGAGCCTCTACGGCATTCTCCTCTAGCTGTCTTGCCAGAAGATGGATGGCGATGATTGATTCGAATGATCTACCTGATGTTAATGGTAACTCTGAGGTACATTTAGAGGCAGAAGTACAAACACTCCCTGTCGAGGCCAAAAAATCCCAACTGCTGACTTTGCTCCAAGCGGTATGTTGATCTAGATTATGCTTGTAGTGTTATGAATTATCCCTTTGGCTGCTTCAGTTGCTATATTGAAATATGAACTGCATAATTTTCTCAATTATCGAATATATAAGATAAGACAGATTTGTTTATCCAATTACTTGCTTTTCTCTATTTGATGGTGTGTTTAACACCGCATTGGGTTACTCGAATGGCGTTGCTTTGATCGAGACCAGGTCGATGACAGATACAGTCAATGCTTGGATGAGATCCATACGGTTATATCTGCATTCCATGCCGCGACCGAGTTGGACCCTCGAGTGCATGCTAGTTTTGCTCTACATACCTTCTCTTTCTTATACAAGAACCTTAGGGAGAGGATCAGCAACCAAATCCTAGCCATGGGAGCAAATTTCGAAGGCGGATGTAAGAGAAGTAGCGATGACTCATTTCAGAATTCATTCATCCAGGAGCAATTGGCCCTTCAGCAGCTGAAGAAGGATCAAATATGGAGACCACAGAGAGGATTGCCGGAGAAGTCTGTCTCGATTTTACGTGCATGGATGTTTCAGAACTTCCTTCATCCGTAAGCCTTCTTTACGGAGAATTGCTTCTAGGACAAGAGATCTCTAGCAGTTATGCGTTTCTTGACATGTCGTATTCACAGGTACCCCAGGGATGCAGAGAAACATTTACTTGCAATAAGAAGTGGCTTAACCAGGAGCCAGGTACTTGGAGCATTCGATAAATCTTTCGACATAACCGGTGCTTTCTTACCTGACTTTCATATGATTCGGTTGTTTTTATAATTTTCATGTTGATCGGTGGATGACTAGGTCTCTAATTGGTTCATAAATGCTCGTGTTCGTCTATGGAAGCCGATGATAGAGGAAATGTACTTGGAGATGAACAAGAGAAAAACGCTACAAAACAAAGGAACCAACAGCAGCAACCCCCGGAGCGAGATAAGCATCAACCATCAAAGGTTTAACATCAACTAAAAGCACAAGAAAGAAAGTATATCGATCGGAATCCGGATTTGAGCACCTTTCCGGTTGGAAAGGAATGCATCCACCTCAGTCAAGGTTACAACTGTGCTTAATGCTCCACTGTAGTTGGGACCTTTAGCTTTTAAGGGTATGGTCCTAATTCAAGCAGGGAACCCTCTTGTTGAAAATCTTATGAAATTCATAGTAAAATTTCATGGAATTAATTGGTATGTTGACTACGTTGAACGCCCCGTGATGGGTAAATTGCACAATTTTGTTTGCATGCATATATATATATTAAATCTCCGTTTTCGTCTTACATTTAAATTTGATTCGAACTATTTTTCCTTTATTTAGTGACATTACAGAAACTTTTGGTCAACACTTGCACGTTTAATGTATGTTGTAAAAGAAACTTGTAAAAGTAATTGGATTGAGCAAGTTCTAACGAAGAACAATTTGATGGGGGAATCAAATTATTTTCCTGGAAAGTTGGTGATAAGGACAAAGATGACTGTTTCAGTGACAATGTGACAGCAACCAGTCTAAAAGTTTTCCCATCACTCTCGTGGAAAGTGACATGAACCCATTTTCAATGGCTCACCCTAGCCGGATGATCAGGCACTGCACCACACTCGTTTGACCCCATAATTTTTTGTTTTTATTGAATGATTGAATCTTCAATAGTAAACATAGATAGAAAATGAAAACAAGTATTAGATTGAATCGAATAGTAAAATTTGAATTAATTAAATTTAAAATCATTTTATCATCTAAATTTTATTTGATTTATTTTCTCGATTGAATCTAATATATTTTTTGAGTTTATTGTCAAATTTAAATATCATTATTTATAATTTTATGGATCATATTATTTTTAATTTAAACAATACTTTCAATATCATACGACATATATATTAGATGTGTAAATAAGATTTATAATATTATTTAATAAAAATATTTAATATATATATATAATACTTTTAATATCATTTGTTAAAGAAAAGATTTTGGGGCGAACTATTGACGAGTATAAACAATTAAAAAGATTAATTGAAAAAGAAATTGTAAAGAGTTATAGTTTAAAAACTAAATTAAATAAAATGTAAAATTAAGAGATTAAATTATTAAAAAGTTTATTATGGGAAAAAATAAAATTACATTTGTATTTTATAACAGTTGAAAATCATACAATTTAAATTTAATAAAAAATTACTTAAAACAAAAGAGGAATTATAAAAATATAAAAACTAATGATCAAATTGTATAAAAATTAAATAATTTAACTACATACCAAAACGTTACGTTTTCAATTTTTAGATTATCCGAATTCAATTCAAACTCGAAGTCTAAATTAAAAATTTAAATTACTAATAATTAGAAAATTAAAAAAAAATCAAACGATTTTGTTCATCCCTAATTATTATGACAAATCTACAAAACGACTTCACCTCGGCTAAAATTTATGGTTTAGAAATAAAAGAATTGATCATACTTCTCTATCTACAACCCTCACCAACTTGTCTTGTCGTAACCAGTTTTCGTCCGAACACGAATTTTTTATTTGGCGGGAAAAGTGAATAAATAGTTTTTAAAATAATTTGAGAGTCGCCATCGGCCTTTTGGGTCAGGTAGGTCGAATACCTAAAAAATCATCTTTTAAAAGAGTTTTTAAGAAAACATCATTTAAAAGATAAACTAGTCTGCGTTTTAACTAAAAATTCGTTCTTTTTAATAATAAAAAGGGATTCGTGGTCGGTTACGTTTAGGGAAGGATTAGCACCCCTACAACGCCCAAAATTGGTACTTTTTAATTATAAATTGTCTCTATTATTAGAAATTTAAATTTTCAAAAATATATTTAATTTATAATCCTATTATTTCAAAATTATAATTATAAAAAAAATATTAATTTATATATATTTATAAATAAAATATTTATTTATTCAGAAATATCAGAAAAGAACTTCTAGGTGCCTTAAGACAGCTCTTTTCTTCGATATTAAAAATAAATAAATAATTAAAACAATTTATATAATTTATAAAATAGGATATTTATTTATTTAAAAATATCAGAAAATGGACATACAGTTGTTTTAAGACTGCCCTTTCTTAATATTAAAAAATAAATAAATATTAAAACATGATTAAAATAAGTTAAAAGTAATAAAATAAATATTATTTATTATATAAATATATATTTATGGCTAAATAATAATAATAATTAAAAATTAACATATAAAATTAACATATAACTAAACAATGAATAAAATTAAAACTATATATTTAAAATAAATAAAACTTGTAAAAAAATAAATAAAAATTGAAATTAGTGACTAAATTATAACCTAATAGAATTAAATACCTAATTCATAATTAATTATTTAAAATTACAGGGATTAAACATGTTATTTTACTCATTTATTAATTTATGGACTAAAATAAAATTACATTAAATTCGAATGTCAAATTAAAATAAATTAAAACATGTTATTCAGATTAAAATATTAATTATTAAAATTAAAGGACTAAATATGTTATTTATCTAAAATATTTATAATTACGGTTAAGGACTAAAATACATATATGTGAAATTCGAAAACCGAATTAAAAGAATTTAAAAATTGATTTAGTGACTAAAATATAAAGTTATAAAACTGATGGACTGTGGATGGGGTTTACCCATATGAGAAATTACACAGATACCCTCACCAAAACGGCGTCGTTTTGATGAGGGTATTTATACCCATTTAAGCCGGCCCCAAGGGCCATCCTTCTCACTTCTTCCTTTCTTCTTCTCTCTAACAGAGAGAAAAAAATTTCTCTCTGTCTTCTCTCTAAACTCTCCACCGGAGGGAGATAAATTCCGGCCGGCAGCCGTACTCCGACACCGCCGGCCACCGTTGATGGTGGCCGAAAAATTTTAAAACCCACCAAAATATAGATCGAAACGTGTAATGCCAATTCCGGTGTTCTTTTTCCCTAAAAAGCTCCCAATCGGAGCAAATCTACGAAAGTACCTTCGGTTTTCGAAGGTTTTTGGTGACGCTTGGAGTACTCCGAAGGTAAGTTACTCTTTTTCTCTTCCTTTTTATTTCTTGCTTGCTTTCTGTTGCTCTCGGTTTCTCTCGTTTCTGTTTGGTATTGCTGTGGTTGGTGGTTGTTGTGGTTCTGTCTTCCGTTCTTCTTTTCATTTTTTTTTCTTCTGTCCTTTTTGTTGGTTACCCCTCTGTTTTTTGTTATCTCCGGTTCTTCCTCTCTAGTTTTTTCTTGCTCTCCGTGGCTGTGTGTGTTCTTTATTTTGCAGGTAACGGTGGATTTTATAGCCACCACGGCGCTCCTCTCGGACTGGTTAAAGAGTGGAAACTTCGGTGAGTCACCAAACTATGTGGTGACTCACCCCATAGCTGAGACGTGGACGACCGACGTGATGTTTCTAGAGTCTTCGAAGAGGCGGTGATGTCGTGGCTACAGCAGGGTGGAACACCTGGAGGTGACAACTGGGCTCTTCTGGAAACATGAGGCGGCGCCACGTGGGGCTTCTGGAAACGGCGGCTGGGAGCTAGGGTTTAGAAACCCTAGCTGAAACCCTAAATGTTTAGGGTTTTATTTTGGTCTGGGCCGATTAATCGGGCATGTACTGGATTGGGCATTTGATGTAATTTATAATATATATATATATATATATATATATTTAATAATAAATAATAATAATAATATATTATATTAATAATAATTATAATTATTATTATGAAAAAATTAATGTCTACACTGTCAAAAGATGTCTACGAACACCTTTTATATTATATATATATATATATATATATATATATATATGCGCGTGCGCGCATTACGAAAAGGTGACGTTGCAGTTTCTCTTCGTCTTACCTCAACAACTTAAAAAGAAATCTGGGTTTAAATCGGTTTCAACTTCCAGCCCATGCTTTCTAGCGAAAGAAGCTCGGGACGGATGAATGATGGACTCAAAGGGCTTCTCGGGCTAATGCTTAGAGTTGGCCGGTTTAAGCCGTATCCTGAAAGAGAGTACTATATTGGTATCAACATGGCATGGGTTTGCTCCTCCGTCACCATTGACCCGCATGCCTGAACCTGCAGGTTCTGTCGTTTCGAGATTGTTAGTTCATGGCACTGCTTTGTTAATATGATTTTGAAAGTTGGGTGCATGATGTTATGGCATGTTACCTCCACCAGGGCACTGTATCTTCTATCTAATTTCGATGTCATGTGAAGAACCTCGGAATGGAATGGAGAGTTCTCCCCGACAAAGATTAGCGAACGGCAATGCAGTTTTCTCAGTCCTTCACTAAGGTCGGGTCTCCTGAAAGATGGGAATTAAGATTTTTATGTTGGATTAAAGCATTAACAGCAAGCTCAAAGGAAATAAGATTGATCTCTCGTCGGACTGGGCTAACCCATTCATCGCTTCAAGGAATCGGCAAACATTTATACTCTGCCTTTTATCTAACAACTGCAGGGGTACAAAAAACACTAATCATGTCAGAAATAATTCTTCTACATGCCTGAACTATATCGGATTCTGGTAACCACAACACTACCACGAACATCCTGCAATTGTGATTCACAGCCTCATCACTTGGCTAATCCGGTTCTAGGAACAAAAACGAACAAACGGAACAAGTTATTGAAGAAGAAAAATACCTTACTGAAGTACCGCTTAAGCAATAACTCCACCATGCTGCACATGGCATTGAAATAAAGCAAATTCGACATCACTGAAATAAAACGAAAATCCATCTATCTATCTAAGCACGTAATTATTTAGTCCCTGAGAGAAAATAAAATGGTCTAGGACAGGAACCTTATTCAACAACCATTCTGTCCAGGAAAGCAGTCTGCAGAGGGGTGAAATGAGTATTAACCCAAGGACACGTTGTCTGTATTTCATCTATTAAGGGGCAAAAAGGCAGACATATTTATTTCCAATTCAAGAGAGAATGATGAACAAAATTTCCACAAACGATGCCAAGATAATTGACTTACTGCAAATAGGGTCAGAATATATGCTCCGGTTGTAACTCCCATGCACATTACAGCACCGAGCCTGCCATTAAAACATTAAAAAGAGGAGAGTTAAAAGAAAAGGAATATCAGCTTGCTTGCCTTTATTCTTTCCAATATAAATTGTTGGTGGTGGTATTACATAAACGAAGACGACAGCTTAAGAAATTATATAAGGGTGGTAGGTGCCTCAATTAACATCCTTTTCAGACGACTACAGCCCACCAATTTCCAGCCTTCATGACAACATAATATGTGCCATACAATGTCTAGAGCATAAGATAGTAAAGTAAATTTCTAATCGGCCGACAATTGGAAATATAAAGCAAATAAAGTAATGAATGAAACTATATTTTACCCGAAAAAGTTGAGAACCTCAACAATCTGATCTGCCAAGTCATCAACCGAAGGAATAAGGTCATCAGATCCAATCGGGACAGCTCCTAACTGCAACATTTCTTGAAGGAAGTTCGGATAAAAAAGGTGTGAATTATAGGATTCAACTAAAACAAGGAAGATTAAAACAGCTAATTAAAACACGAATAGAACTGACCTCGTGCCCGGGAGGACTTATATGATATATGCAAAAGTTATGCAGGAGTAAGGAACTAGCTTCTGGGCAAAAGAACAAGCCTTGAAAACATGAGATATCTGCACAATGTCACATGATTAACAGTTTGAGATACAAAATGTATCACCGCAAAAAGATCTTGGTTGGTACAAAAATCTAACAAATAATGTCATGAACTTCCGACATATTTTGGAATAAAAGCATTACAGCCTCGAAATCTCATGCACCATGATGAGAACACAAATGAATATCTAAAACTCATAAGCATAAGGAAAATCGACGAAACGATAATGTTTCTGGCATTACTTACGATTTAGAGCTAAATCAGGATAGGTTACAAGAGCCGGCTTATCTTGGTCTCCAAACACAAAAACAGAACCCGAACCGAGGCGAGTTTTCACAAGGTACTCCTGCAGATAGATCTCATAATGCATTGTTATTCATTTAACAAACCTTCAAGGAAAACAACCAACCTAATCAAAACAAATCACAAGGTAAGGAGAATCCAACTAGGGTTTCATTTACTTCAAAATAGAAATGTTTCAAAAGCATAATCCAAGTTAAGTAAAATCTAACTAGATTTAGCTAGCATAATACTATTTTGATCATCTAAGGATGCTCTTCATCGCCAAAACTCATGATTTTAAGAGACATTGACATGAAACTCATGATATTACTTGTCAAACTTCTCTTCTTGTACAAAAAAACAGCTTCTAAAGTGAGCACAAGAAGAATCAAAAGCCACCAATCAAAGGATAAAAAACCAAAAAATAGATCAGCTACATAGCTTAAAAATAGAGAATTAAACAAGAAAGTGAACGAACAATCCGGCTTTGCTAAAGAAAAAAAGATAGATAGCTTCTGCATTGAACCTTTTTTTCATTCCGTTTTCTCTTCAATTCCAGATTTTTCTCGGTAACCAAACAAGATGATACAATATGAATGCAGGTTACCTTGCCGCCTAGAGAGATCATTTCCATGTCAATGAAAACTGAATCGCTCCGTGCATACCAAAACGAAGACGCATTTGAGGAATTGGGTTCCATTCCTTGTATACCAAATTTCCCTCCGTGTTTCCTTTTCAGAATTTTCTCATGCTATTAAAAATGATTTAAATTAATAATAATGGTGAGAAAATTAGACTATAAGTACTTTTTATCTTTCATCTTCGAAATTACGAGTTTAACTCGTGGGTAACTACCGAGTCACTGACGCTCCAAGACTCAGAGTCGGAAAAACTCATAATTCACAAGGATGCCCTACTAGCGGGCTTTAACCCGAGTCTCGGGTCTATTTAACCCCAGTTAAGAGGCCGACAGTTTCTTCCATTTTACGATATTGCCCTCAATCCATTTCCCAATCGTTTACCCATTTATGAATTCTGCAAGCTATTTTATTTGCGATCAATTTGCTTTATTAGTCCTTGTACTGTGTTAAAGTTGTGGATTTAGTCCCTATAATATAATTTGATCACCTAGTTTTGACCCAAACTGTAGTTATTAAATTTATTAAGGAAACCTTTACAATTAATTCGATAATATATCAAAGTTGTAGATTAAGTACCCTCTAAATTGATCATTTTATGTTTTTATAATTTAATCACATTATTTATGTATTATTTGAATGGTTATTGAGATTAAAAATGATCAAATTCAAATACAAAGACTAAATTTATAATTTATGTATAATACATAAACTATTGAACGAATTTAAATTTTACGCAATTCATTCATTAAATTAATGATAAGTCGTGATTTAATCTAAAAAATATTATGGTTCAATTCGCATTTATTATATTATATATCCTTTAATTTCTCTTAAATTTAACTCTTTACTAAAAGAGATATATTATAAATTTTTAACCGTGTTAAATAAAAATTCGAGTCATTAACCATATATATATATATATATATATATATATATATATATTTATTTGGCATTTGTTAAGAAAGAATTGTTCCCACTTATAACGAAGGATTCTGATTTTCTCTACTAAAAAATATCTAAATGATTCCTTTAGAATTTAATTAAATATATATATTTTTAGGGCAAATTATGTCAATAGTCCCTTTTGTTTAGGGTCTATTCAACTTTGATCACTAATTTAAAAATTAAGGATAAATGGTGTCTAACATTATCGGTCCGTCTAGTTTAAGTCCCTCCGTCGTTAACCCTTAACGAATATGTGACATAATTAAGAGACTAAAATCGAACGGAAGTTAATAGCCAAGGGATTAAAATTGAACAAATCAATAACGTTAGAAACTAAAATCGAATGAATCGATAACGTTAAGGAAAATGTACAATTATTTTTTAAATTAATGATCTATCAAACTAAAAATAAATAAGACTATTCACATAGCTTATATATATTCTTAGGGTGCGTTTGGTTCACGGAATGTAAGATTACCAGTGGGAATAAAAGATTACCAGGGAATAGGATTACTGGGAATGTTGTATTTTGTGTTTGGTTGGTTTAACAGGAATGTAAGATTACCGTGTTTGGTTAAAGGAATAAAAGATTATTAGAATGTATATTTGACCAAATTGTCCTTATTATATATTTGTATAATATTACAAATTGTAAAATATTTATATATTTTCTTTAAAAAATTAAATTCATAATATTTATATAATTTTTTTTACAAAATTAAAAATATAAAAAAAGTTTAATGAAAGGGTAAAAAAATTTTAACCCTTGAACTTTATATAAAAATTTAATTATATATTTTTTTTTGTAAATCTAAAATAATTTAAGGATAAATTTGTAATTTAACCTTCGTAGAATTTTTATTATTCAATGACAGAAAAAGGATATTTTTGAAAAAAAAATAAAAATTTAAGGGCATTTTAGTCCAAAATACTGGTAATGTTATAATACCTAAGGGAATGGAGGTAATGACATTTCCGGTAATATACCCCAAAAAATCTACTATTGGTAATAAAACATTACCGGGAATGAGATTCCCGACCAACCAAACATGGGAATGTGGGATTTCCATCCCATGGGAATCTCACAATCCTTGAACCAAACACCCCCATAGTATTTCATAAATTATTGTCAGCCATAGGAATAGGATCCTTCAGTTGAGACATCATTGCTAAAGTGGGGCCCAATTAACCACATCAGTAATCCAACTCATGCAAACAATACGGCGTGGTTTTGTACTTAAGTTGGTATATGTCATTTACCTCTCAACTACAAGGCCGACAATAACCCCGAGTCCGAGACGAGTCCCTTTCCGTACTACTTTCATGTCGTTTTACTCTAATTGAAAAATATTTTCCATTTATTTATTTTTAATAAGTAGATATTGTAGACATTTATTTTTGTTCGAGATATTAAGGGTTTATTATTATTATATAGTATAATATATAAAAAATAATTTCAAATGTAATTTTTTGAAAGTATATAGTAAATGCTTTGAAAACGTATTTTCGAAAACGCATAATATATAATTTTTAAAAAAATAGTTTTGAAAATGTATAAAATAGGGTTTTTTAAAAAACAGTTTTGAAAACGTAAAGTATATAGCTTTGAAAACATTTTGGAAAATGTATAATATGATTTTGAAAACAATTTTTGAACGTATAATATGGTTTTTGAAAATGATTTTTGAAAATATATTAATATATATAATTATTGAAAACATATTATATAGTTTTTGGAAATATAATATATATAGTTATTATTATTATTATTATTATTTATGCTATTTATTATATATATATATATATATATATATATATATATATATTATTTATTTGTTTGTTTAATTTTATTTTTAACATGTCCAATACAGTCCAAAGTGCAGCTCAACCGAGCCAACAAGCCTGACCCAGCAAATCAGCCCGGTTAGGGGGCCAGACCAAGCCTAGTAAATAGTAGGTTAGGGTTATGTAAACCCTAAGCAACTGACGGCACGCGCGTGAAAGCCACGCACAATAATCGATCGAGATTCCCGGCCTGTAACACCCCCAACCCGTATCCGACCCAGATACGAGTCCGAGATGTCACATCAACTTTTCAAAACATTTTCTTGTATCAAATAGAAAATGAATTTTTAACTCAATATAAACATAATAAATAATTTACATATAACTACTTAAAACGTTTACAAAATTGTTTAGAGCTTATGCAATATACTATTTTAAATACATGTCAACTAGATTTTTTTATATACCAGAATACATATATTCAACAACAATTCTGATATGATCTATAGCAAGGAGAATCTGACCTGTCTTGCTCCTCATTGCTTCGCTTCTCGCTTTCCGGAACCTACGTGTGACACGCTCACACGCTAAGTCTATGACTTAGTGAGGCATATAAAACTTATAAAGTAACCATGACTTCTAACAATGAATGCATGTTTTCTACTATTATAATAAGCAACCTCATATACAATACACTTCCACATAATGAACCTATACATACATACATACAAATCATCATATCATACATATATTTGCATACTTTTTCATTTCCATATAACCCTGTATATTTACCTCACTCAGTTTATATCACATTTTTCCTATTATCATTTAAATCATTTCTTTTATAAAATTATTAATCATATAATTTCTATCCCAAATTTACATAATTTATCCCTTATTTCCATGTGCTCTTATTTATCATATAACCCATAAATTCTTTTGTTATATGTTTTATTAGTTCATTTCTCATCTAATTTGTCACATAGACACATATATTTTATTCACTTTCCATAATTTAATTCCTATGAAATTTTCATGACTTCCTTTCCTAAATCCTTGTATTATATTTTATATCAACTAAGAATTTAACAGGTTTTAGATCATAATTTCATTGAACCATATAGCCCTTCCTTTACAAATTAACTCCTATATTCTTATTCTTAATCCTATACATGTTTCCTATTTGATATCCTATTTCTTTTATCTCTATTCTAATATAATTCCATTATACGATTTCTTTCCCAAATTATATTCTCGTAGTGTAATCATAATTATTCTATCCATATAATCGTATAGTTTATCATTTCCTTACATATACCTATACTTATGGAGTTCACAACATTTTTCATATAATTACTTGTAACATATCATATAAGTTCATTTCATTCTCTTATATTCAAATATATATCACACAAACATATTTCCACATAAATAATATAACATATGAAATACATGCAACCAACATACTCATATTCAAGTACTCAATCAAATATAACAATCATCTCAAGTTTACTTATTATATCTTTATTAGCCCATGTACACATATGAGAACTATAGATATACGAGTACATTGAGGTTGTGCACTATGCTGTCACCACAGCTCGTATAAGTCCCACTGAGTGGCATAAGAAATTTGTCCCGAAGGACCTCTGTATATCCTGAAGGACCTCTGTATGTCCCGAATGACCTATGAACCCTCGACTCTTAGCATGCCAACTATACCTCTAGCCCTCATAACCTATAACATGGGCATTATTATTTATCATTTCACATATTCACATGTACATATCACTGTTCATATGATTTCATATTCATATGTTACTTATCTTATAACACTTCCTATGTGTTCATATAACATGTATATCATTTCCATCTCTTGTTCACATATGTTTCCTGTATATCATATATATATATATATATCACATATACACATAGATCTTTTTCATATTCTCATATCACATGACTTATTTCTCATTCATATATTTTCTCATCTTGTAATTTATATTACATGTGCATATAATTTTATAACTTATTATCAAGTAGCTCAGGTAACATTCTTGTAATGTTTCCTAGATCATTATCATATACTACACATCATATAAATGCAGATCACATAACATGTAATACAAGCAAAGCATATTCACATATTACACAATCCTAATCATGCATTGAATCATACTATCATATATTCAAAATATTGAAACAGACTTATCACAAGTCTGGTTTCCATGTAGAAATACATATATTCTAAGAGTATGCACTCACCTGGCCTCACTAGTCAATACCGATCTCTCATCTTTCCCTTAATCGATCTTACTTTACAAATGTT